GAAGAGGCCGGAGGAGGAGCACGGAGGAGCACGGAGGAGCGACGGAAGAGGCCGGAGGAGGAGCACGGAGGAGCACGGAGGAGCGACGGAAGAGGAGGAGCACGGAGGAGGAGGAGCGACGGAGGAGGAGGAGCACGGAGGAGGAGGAGCGACGGAGGAGGAGCACGAAGGAGCGACGAAGAAGAGAGGAGGAGCGACGAAGGAGCACGGAGGAGGCGGAGGAGGAGCACGAAGGAGCACGGAGGAGGCGGAGGAGGAGCACGAAGGAGCGACGGAGGAGGAGCACGGAAGAGGAGCACGAAGGAGCGGCGGAGGAGCGACGGAAGAGCAACGGAGGAGGAGCACGGAGGAGCGACGGAGGAGGAGGAGCACAAGGAGGAGCACGAGGAGGAGGAGCACGAGGAGGAAGAGAAGCGACAGAGGAGCAACGGAGGAGCACGGAGGAGCGGCAGAGGAGGAGGAGGAGCACAAAGGAGGAGGAGGCGTACAAAGGAGCGACGGAGGAGCACGGAGGAGCGACGGAGGAGGAGGAGCACGGAAGAGGAGGAGGACGGAGGAGCGACAGAGGAGCGACGGAGGAGGAGCACGGAGGAGCACGGAGGAGCACGGAGGAGGAGCACGGAGGAGCGACAGAGGAGCACAGCGGAGGAGGAGGAGGAGCACGGAGGAGCGACGGAGGAGCACGGAGAAGCGACGGAGGAGCACAGCGGAGGAGGAGGAGCGACGGAGGAGGAGCACGGAAGAGGAGGAGCACGGAGGAGCACGGAGGAGCACGGAGGAGGAGCACAGAGGAGCGACAAAGGAGGAGCAAGGAGGAGCGACGGAGGAGCACAGCGGAGGAGGAGGAGGAGCGACGGAGGAGGAGCACGGAAGAGGAGGAGCACGGAGGAGCACGGAGGACGAGCACAGAGGAGCGACGGAGGAGGAGCAAGGAGGAGCGACGGAGGAGGAGGCGCACGAAGGAGCGATGAAGGAGGAGCATGGAGGAGCGACGGAGGAGCGACAGAGGAGGAGCGACAGAGGAGGAGCGACAGAGGAGGAGCGACAGAGGAGGAGCACGGAGGAGGAAGAGGAGCACGAGGAGGAGAAACGGAGAAACAGACGTTGTCGGCGCGCTTACGGTTTTGTCCCTGAGAGGAACCTGCGAGACGAGTCTCTTGTCTTCGTTCGGATCCATCACCTCACCGTTGATAAACAACTCGATCTTTACGTTGCCGTTGTTCGCCTTAACCCTGCGATAAGCAGCAAGCGTTTCCAATGAGGAGTGCTCTCCTTTTGCAAGAGGTGTGAATTTACATGCTAATAAATCAGTATATTACAGTGAAGCACGCTGTACGGTAAAATAAATCGGATAAGGTAGCTAAGGCCAAGAGTACTGTACGCTACTAGAGTAAGAATTTATAACTATTACAACTTACGCGTGAAATGACGCACGCACGCACGCACTCACGTTAACACGAGGTGCAGCCAAACGTAACTATACCAAATATTTTAACTACTGAGGAATGGAATCAACAATAATCGAGCTTGAATCAAAGCCAGTCTGTTAGACTTCAAGAAGCGTCAGCTGTCCACAACTCTTGTCTGTCGCTATTCTGCTGTACCTTTGCAGAATTTGATTCCTCACAGATGCTATAGTGTCGTTTGTGTGCGACCAGATCTCGATGTCCTCCCCCTGCCTGTTGTGGTTAGGAAAACGCACCAGCAGTGTCACGTGCTTGCCTCGATATGCCCTGAAGAACACAATCAAGTAAAAACTGTAAAAATTCCAAAGCAAACAACAAATGCATGCTTACGCACAGAGTAACAATACCGTTCGAAACCTACTGGAAATGCACAAGTATATATAGTAAAGGTTTACGATTATAAATGCGGGTTCATCATAAAATATTCATTTAAAAGGTATCTTCATTATAAACAAATCCAAATTTCAAAAATACAAACAAACAAGAGGCAGCAGGCTAGGGCAAACGCTTGACAACAGAACGCGACGACGGTGGGCCGGTGACGGGAGGTGGCGACCGCGGGAGACGCCAGCAGGGGGCGCCACGTTGGCGTGCGTACCTGCCCATGGGGAGGATGGTTCGCTCGTCGGTGTAATCGTTGTCGCACTCGCTGATGTACTCGCGCAGCACGACGAGCACGCGCACCATGCGCGTCGTCTCCTGCCGGATGCGGTTCACGCTGCCCTTGTCCTTCTCCAGCACGCTGATCGTGTCGTAGGCAGCCTTCAGCCGGTCGACGCACGACTGCAGGAAGTCGTCGTGAATCTCCACCTGTGGCCGGGTTAAAGGTTATTACTATTAAATACCACGGAAACAAAATATTAATAATTATAAAATAAATTATTTTACATAATTTTATAATAATTAAAATTAATATCATCTAAGATGAAGATTTCATACATAGTGCAATTAAACAAAATAAATAATATTTTTAAATAAAATGATAATTATATTATTTTGAAAATTAAAATAATACATAAAATAACAATAATAAAAAATTGATGTGAACCAACAATTACAAAAATTCCACACCATATCAATATGGTACAGAAAGTCCAGGTTTTTTATGCATTGTTTGTTTATTGTGCATACTGTAATAATTTAGTACAAAAAATAATTGAAACATTTATAGAAAATAATGAGTATAGGACTCAAGACAGTTGCTTCCAACGTAGCAAACACTGTTCCATCCTTGGTTGACTTTGTATTGAAATTGACTATGTCACGAATTTTCTATGGTGTATATTTAAAAAAATTTGTTGCCATTTTTTACATTAAAAGTAAGAAATACGAGACTAACGTTATCGTCCAAATTTTACCCAAAGGATTGTTTCTCAACTACCGGTTAAAAATCAAAAAACTCTGCGCACGATTGATATTATGATGCTGACATAAGGATACTGTAAGGTTACAGACGGTTAACACTCGCTAAAAGGCATGCTGCCAACCTAAACTACTCATCAAGATTCAATCAAACTTCATATCCATTGACATGGAGAGATGTCCCTCTACGCTCTCGTTGAATTTTTTTTTCTTTACGAAAGTTCATCGCTAATTAAATCGAGCTGAAAAAAATTTGTGAATATACAAAAACATTCCTTTGTTATTCTTAGAAACAGCCAGAGTTGCCGCGACCTAACCTTTTAACCAGTAAGCTGTGCATAAATATGCAACTAAAAAAGAGTCCCCTGGAATTTTTTGTAATTTAAGCGAAATAAGTTGAAAAGAATGTACGAAAGTTGTAATGAATTTCTAAATGCAACAATTTCGCTAAACAAGAGCAGCCATAACTCATAAAATATAAATATCTGAAAAAAAAATTCCAGACACTTTTTTTTCCGTCTTAGTATGTTAGCATTGAACGCTAACAAAAAATTTGGAATCGCAGTTGCGAGTTCTCGAGAAATACGCGCCTTGAAAAATCCACCTACTTTATCATTTTATCAACCAAGATATCAGCGACTTTTGCTAAATTTCTTATCACATTGAACGCCTGTGTTAAGAATGACTAATGCGGGATTTGGAAGCTGCTTTGGGAGGTACATACATAATGTTTCTACGTATACATAGCTGCCCATGCGCTGCGATCTATCAAATAAAGTGGGCGTATGAAATTTGCGAACAAAATTCACCTCCCAACCCTTTAGCAGTATCCTTAATTGCTTGCTATGGGCATGTATGCAGTCACGAGCGTATGTTTACATCGAACTATATAGTAAATAGGAACCTATAATGGAGGCAATTTAACCATAAAAAAGTGAACAGAAGTTTACTTACATTTTGCTGAAAATGGAAATATTTTGTTTAATTTTACTATTTACGGTGACGTAATCACTTTAATCCAACCCAACCCTGCAGTGCTTACCTGGTTCGTTTGTAACCGGGGACCGAGGTTTGTGTAGGTTTCCCGCAGCAGCTCGATTGCTTTGTGGGCAATCTCCTCCCCTGCACACAGCACCACCCGCCACAAATAATCCAGCCCTGCAGAAATTTTTTAAGAAACCGACAGTTAACAAATGCCACGCAAATTCCCCTCCCAAAATGTGCTACAAAAAGCTCCTTTGCACACTTTCCATTACATAAGAGGGTTTCTTATACATAGGAGGCACAGTGGCGCACCGCCGTTGTCAAATTTAACATCGCGGTTGTGAAAATGTTCCTGTATTTACTGATAAGTATATCCTATATCTATATACCTATAAGTATATTAATACATCCTGTATTTGAATCCATAATGCGCACTTTTTCCCCCAAACTGACCATTACCTCCTTTGTCTAATTTTACCTCAGAAGAAACCCTGCATACATCGAAATAATATCTGTGTAGCGATATTACATTTATTAGCGATATTATAGTCGGAGAGAGTGATCTGAAATGACAGAGAAATGACATGAAATGGTTTACGTTTCAGATTCTGAAGTAATTATACCTGTTAGCTCAACGTCGTCCATCAGATAAGCTCTCCTCTTGGCAATAAGTTTTCCTTCTTTGGTATTTACTGCTTTGAAGAACCTATCGAAACACCTACGACCACAAAAGTACGATGAATAGGGTCACTAGATGGTTACACAGTACACACAGCACCACAAACACACAAGATCAGCACGCCTCGCTGCACAACTATCGTTTAACGCATGCAAAAATACAAAAGTACATTCGTAGCTTATGAGCAGTTCGCACTCGAATCTGGGAGTTATAGAATGCGGATTCGACAATTTCGAAATGATAAAAGTTTAAGTCAAATATCACGTGCCTATGATACGCAACAGACAAGCGAACAGGTTCAATAGGTGAACGTTACTCGCACTCAGTCGCGCGTCAAAATGATGGCGACGGCGACGATGACGACGCGAGGCGAGGAACCACGATCGCTAACGACGAGTCTGCAGGCAGCATGCGACTAACGACTCACTTCATTCCGGATTCGGTGATTAGGCTCGGATCTAGCTGCATGATGTTCTCCTCAAAGAAATCCTTGTTGATGTCCGGGTCCAAGTCCGGCTCATCGCCCATTAGCTACGCAGAATTCGGCGTCGATTAAAAATGTGACACCTACGTCTACATACATGCCTACGTGTACACATATTGCAGGACTGCATGGTCCGTTCGTGTATACTAGGATATCAGAGGGCAGTGGGATGTGACAAGAAAATGTAGGACATCGAAATACTGTGAGCCTACAGTGAACGCGATGCCTTTACGTGAACACTGCGATATATATATATATATAAATATAATTATATATATCTATTATATATTTTATATATATAATCATAGATTTATAGACTTACCTTAGAAAACCACTTGAAGCACGCCTCTCTGTCACTGGGAAAGACAGCGTTTTCTGCGAGACAAAGCCAGATCTGTCTTGCCTGTGGCGCGCACAACCACAGCTGGCCGTCCTTGAGAAGAAACCTGCAATCAACGTAACGTTGCTCTCAACTTATTCCTTACACAGTAACACTATCACATAGCTTTGTACTACTTAAACACTTCACAAGCAATAGACAGTTTCACTTATTCCTTACACTATCACATAGTTTCATACTACTTCATAGTTGCAACCTAAGACAAAGAACAGGCAAAGTTCCAAGATAACCTTAATGGATTTTCACCAGTCTAGTCATAATAAATTTTTGAAACCCTACTACTACACTAATTACAATAAACTGGAAATTGTGAGGGCCCTCGTGATATCAACCCATCTGTATGATGAATAAATGTACAACTCATGAGAGGAGAGGAGTCACGCGCGTTTAGGGGATCACCAATACCTGAGAAAGTTGAGCCGTTCTTGCACTTGCTGTACGTGTGTGTATCTGCTATCTGGCATGATGGTGTTCGGGTCGATATCTGGATTTTCTGAAATGCGATACAGAAAATTTCAATTTTTTAGAAAGTAAAGCAATGTGTAATCATTACAGGTATAGAGACAAATTGGCTATCTGTTAACATACAGCCTACTCAGAAATGAGACTGAAAACACATCAGTGCACGCGAGATGTGTTGCAATCGGCACTTCTAGCTCCCCTTTCATTTCCAGTATAGAAAACAGTGCAGCAAAAACGTGGCAGGAAGAAGATCTGACACTTTACACTATGAACTGGAATAAACGGATAAAACACGGACTAAACACAGAAATGGTGCAAAATGTACGGAGGTACGGAGTAACGGAGGTACGGAGCCACGGAGTAACCACGGACTGCCTGTTAACAATGATCTTATCTGGAGAGTTCAGGATTATTATGTTCACAGTACGTGGAATTCCCGGCGAGCGTGGCAGCCGCATACCAGCACCTGCTAATGTACGGCTGCTTCAAAAGCTCCCACTGCTGGTATGCGGCTGCCACGCTCACAGGAGGAAATCCACGTACTATGAACGTAATAATCAAGGACTCTCGATATTTGACAATTGTTAACGGGCAGTCCGTTGTTACTCCGTAGCTCTCCGTGCGTTTTGCACCATTTACATGTTTAGTCCGTGTTTTATTCGTTTGCTGCACTGTTCTGAACTGGATAAGAAAGGAGAGCTAGAAGTAGCGATCCACCACTAGACTGTTTAGTCCGGGCTTTATCCGTTTATTCTAGTTCATAGTGGTATTTCACTCTGAATTGAACGACACATCCTTAGGGAGTCACCGACATATATGCAGGCAAACATACCTTTAATGACTTTTCGTGCTTTGTTCATGTAATTGCACAGATTGTCAGCAACAAGAATGACAAAGGTGTGATCATTCTGCAGCTTGTTTATGATTTCATGTCTGTAGAACAGATGGGGAGTCCGCTGTGCGTGGGCCTGCAATACCAAACACACGTGTCAATACAGCAGGTGAAAATCCTTCTACACTTGCAAGAAATTCAATTCAAAAACAACATTCAAAAAATAACATTCGTCACAGATAATAATTTACAATATCATTGTCGATTAATATTATGGCAACTAAGGCAAAATTAAAACAAAAAACAGAAAAAGCCTTCAAACAAAAACTCATGATTTGCAATGACATATGATGGAGAAAATTACATGATATTCAATGATATTCATTGTGAAATGTTAAATCAACAGCATCGAATGCCATGGCGGCACAAATACCTGATAGTTTGGTGGCACCTCTGTGTAGAGCTGGCAGATCTCACGAATCTGCTTTAAAGCCGGTATCACCCACTTATCATTCTTCAGCTCTTCTACGCATTTGTTGACCCAGTGTTGCTTTTGTGCATCTCTGTCCTGTGAGAATATAGAAACGATATACTCAACTGTACAATTATATTTGTGCAATTATACCATTTATGCCTACATCTGTTACCATGTCACTGTGACATTCTGCTATTTCCATACCAACTCTATGAAACAGACACCTGTCTATAAAGCACACTCTCAGGGTGCCTCTCGCATGACCCTCATGTACAGGATTGCCCGCACTGCACTCAGTTTCACTACACTCAACCGTACAGCATTAAGTCAGCTTTTAACGTTAACAGTTGAAACCGTCTTCGGAGCCGGCGGTGCGCACTACGCTCACGCTACCTATGCTCACACCACCCACGCTCATGCGCTACCCACCCTCAAGCTACCCGCGCTCAAGCTACCCCACCCACGCTCATGCG